CAGGTTTGAGCCATGCAGATATAAATACTGCTTTGTTCTAGGCTTTGCCCAGTGCACACTGTGCATCCAAAGTGACATTTTGTGAGTTACTGTCAAAATAAGATTTGATATTTTTCATGCATCTTGTTGACTTTTCACTCGGGCCATTAAGGGAAAATGACCCCCCGAGCAGTTGTGTTATCAGTTAGTTTTGCTTTGTGTATCTCTCTAAAACCCAGCCATTACGTGAAATTATGTGACTCGCTGCACCAAGATGTTCGCGAGCTAGAGCCTGCTGTGTGAGAGGTCGCATCCTGCCGCGCAGGTGGAAGCTCAGCGAGGGGAGCCGGGGCGCTGGGTGGCAGCAGCAGCTGCAAGGGAGCAAACTCAACCGAACCTGGCCTGGGTCAAGTCAGCGGGGAGCACGGGGTTTGTTGTGAAGAATGGATGTGGTTCTGCTGGCACGTACGCAGCGTGTACTGGGCCAAAGACCGAGCCCACGCTCTGCACGCGGGGCCGGGAAGCATGTCTGCAGTCCCCTTGCGGAGAGCCCGCGGGTCCCTGGAACCACGTGCACGGCACTTGTGGCCTTGCCTTCATTTCAGCCTTGTTTTCCCGTCTCGGTGGCCCTGGCCAGACCGAGGCAGACTGCCTTCGGGTGCCCCTGTGAACCGCAGCAAGGCTTGTGGGGTGGCTCTGGCCACATTTTCTTTGCTGCCTGTCCTGTGCCGGTCACCTCTCATGGTTCACCTGCCTGCTGTTCGCCCAGCCCAGGTGCAGCCGGTTCCCCCCAGCGTGGGGTGGTGAAGGTGCAGACCACTGCAGCCTGCCGACCGCGGCCCCCAAGGACCTGGGGGGCTCCTGCTAGGCAGATGCTGGGGACGGCCTTCGGGCTGGGCCCAGACACCCCGACTATCCATCATGGGAGCAGGCTTGAGCTCTTGGACCCTGGCTTTTGGAGGGAGGTTGCCGAGGCCCAGGGCTGAGACGGGGCCGCAGCCTCCTGCATGGGTGTGAGGGTCTGGAGGGGCTGAGCAGCTCCGTGCCAGACTCCCCTGCGTCTGTGCCCCGGGGAGCTGCTTTCCTGCTCGGTAATGGCCCCTCGCTTATCTGCCTTAATCCAGCGCAGCAGCTGCCACGCACTCGGCGCTATCAGCGCTGCGCAGAGCCGCCCCCAACCCTCCTCGTCCTTTCCCATTATGGGAGCAGCAGCAGCTGCCTCCCGCCTCCCGCCGGCACGAAATCCAGCACGGCGGCTCCATGTTTGGCCATTCAGCCAGCTCGGCCGAGCGTGCGGGAAGGGGACGCCTTGCTGGGCCAGGCCGCAGGATGAGACTAGCCGAGGTACCGCGGGAAGCGACCCCCAGACACGGCCGCAACAGCTGCGCCCGCGGACACGCGCGTGCACTGGTGTGACGTGTCCTCTGTACAGAGCAGAGTCCAGCAAGCCGGACCCCTCTCCCTGCTGGCCTCAGAGCCCTGTGCCCCCCAGGCTCGAGGACCGCAGCGGGGAGGAGCTGTCCCTGGAGCTGGGCTGTGACTCGCACCCTGTGGATTAACAGCTCCAGCTAAACAGACCCTTCCCTCTCCTCCCGGCTCAGCTGGCCGTGCTGCAGCCAGCTAGCTGCTGCCCTCGCGGGGCAAGACTCGGTCTGGCTTCAACCTGCGCGGCTTTGCGAAATAATGCCTGGCACTTGGCGGGATACAGGGCTCCAGCCTCGTTGTCTGTGGCCCTGTATGGAAGCGGGGTCTGGACCCCGGACCCACCAGCTGGTGTCCGGCAGGGCAGGGCATGGCGTGCGGGTGGGTTCTTGTCCGTGCCCCCGCGCCGTGCAGGCCCTGGGGATTAACCCGGAGGACTTGCAGTTTGTTGCTGCTGCGGAGCCCCATTCTCCAGGGTGGAGCTGGTGCATGCATGTGCCCGGGTGCTGCCCGGTGGCCATGCTCTTGTGCCCCCGTGCTGCGACGCTGCCTGCAGCATAGTGTGCCGTGCTGCGCCGTGCCGGGCCATGCTGTGCTGGGTCATGAGGTCAAGAGTGGTTCAAAGACCAGAAACACGGAAAACATGAGAATGAAAGGCAGGGCCTGGCCTGTATTTGTCCCAGCCGGCACGCCACGCTGGGAGAGCACAGCGCCGAGAGGGGCCTCGGGGACGAGGGCAGAGGCGCATCGCTGTGGCCCTTGTGCCTCGGCCTCTGGCCTCTGTGGGGCCTGGGCTGAGACCCCCGAGCACGGGCCGCCGGCAGCCAGTGGAAAGTAACACAGGCCAGGCACCGCCGTCTGCCCGAGGCTCCAGGCTCGTTCCTGGCACGTGGGGGCACCTGGCTGTCGAAGGTCCTCGCGTGTCCTTCCTAAGCAAGGCCTGCTCACGGGCTGTGGCTGTGGGCATGGAGCTGGTGCCATCCAGAGGGAAAGGGCAGGAGGAGGATGCAAGGATGAGCCCCTCCAAAAGGCCTGGGGTCTGCGTGCCGTGTGCTGGCTGGTGGCTGGCAGGGTCCAGCCAGCTGCAGGCGCACGGCGGCTGCGTTGAGCCGTTCTGAGTGCGGCGCGCGGCCCTGGCGAGCCTGGCTGCTGCCCGACGGGCAGGGGGGCAGCAATCTGTCTTGTTAGGGCGCTTCACTGACTCCCAGCGGCAGAACGGGCAAACGGGCAGGCAGGCGCACGCCGGGGAGGAGAGGGGGAGCCCTGCCCGCAGCGGCAAACCTACCTCTGCTTCGCTGCGCGCTGGAACCGCCCTCCGCACAGCTCCCCGCTCGCTCCCTCCGCCAGGACGGTCCGTGTGCGCTCGCGGCTCCGTCACCCGGTGCCCCTGGCAGCAGCCCCGTCCCAGGGGTCTTCTCCCCAGGTGGAAGGAGGAGTGTGTCTCCCTCCCTCCTTCCTGCCCTTGCCCCCGGGAAGCAGCGGGCACAGGCTCCTGCCGTTCCCTGGGTGGGAGTTAATGGGTAACGTCGGGGGTTGCAGTGCAGCGCGAAGCTGGTCCGTGGGGCGGCGGGGACTGGCGGTCGCTGGCTCGGCAGCCTGCGGGATGTGGCTTTGGCTGGATGCCCCTGCTCAGGGCCCCGGCCAAGAAGGCCCGTCCGTCCCCCACCCTGCCCCGTGCTCCGGTGACCCTGCGACGGGCAGGTGCGGGCCGTGCAGGGGGGCTCTCAGTGCCTTCTTGGGGGGGCCCCGGCAGGCTGGTGGTGTCCTCTCCACCCCACCTTTGCGGCAGACGTGCACTTCAGCATCTCCCCAGCCAACCCCTCGTGTCCCCCCGCATGGCGCGGCGCGGCGCGGCACGGCACGGCACGGCGCAGGCGCGCCTGGTTGCAGGCCTGCAGCAGCGAGTGCGCGTCGCCTGCCTGGAAGGCACCTGCAGCCTGGAACGAGGCAGCCCGGCAGAGGCCTTTGAGCTGGCAGATGACAGCTTCTCCCGCGGGGCGGCAGCCGGGCGCCTGTCTGGCAGACAAGAGAAACTATTACCGCTCCCTCCATCATGCCTGGGACTGGACTGGGGGCTGCTCCGGGCTACGCTGAGACAGCACCTGCTCCAGGGGCACCGAGCCGCGCTGCTGGAGCTCGTGGCCAGCGCCAGCGTGTCTGGGCCGGCTCGCTGACACACGCCGAGACAAGCGGGAGCCGAATTGCAAGCCAAACCCCAGAGTACTAGAGCCGGCCCCCTCAGAGAGACCTCCCCCCTCCGCATTCACGGCCGGAGATTTTTGATGGGAAGTGGCTTTTTTGGCAACATGGGCGTTTTCCACCAGAAGCCTCTACTTGTGTCAGTTCCTGCAGAAGCTGAAAACAGAGACAATTCCTGCCCTTCGTCTCCGGGAAGGGCTCCAAGGACGTCCTGAAGGAGAAGGGGCCGGCCCGGCTCTGCCCTGGGTCGGAGGCGCCAGGCTCCAGCCGGCCCCGGGCAACGCAGAGCAGTGGCCCAGCCGGAGGGAGCGCGGCCAGGATCTTTGTCGGGCTGCTCTGGCCTTGCTTCTTACCGGTGTGGGGGTCAAGCCCTGGCCTAGGGGCCGCCGTGCCCCTGCGGGTCGCTTCCACAGGTGGATCGTGTCACAAGGGCTGAGCGCGGGTTGCTGCTGGTGGCCGCCCGGCTGGACCTCGCCACATCCGGGCCTCCAGCCTGGGCGCGCCAGTGCTGGCGCCGCCCGGGCTCCGGCCTGGCTCCCGGCTGCGCGGTGCATTGCTCCCCTGCTCGGTCCTGGCGAGGGAAGAGTGGCCACGCTCTGGCGCTGGCGAAGGGCATCGGGGACGTCTGTCTGCAGTCAGGGCACAAGAGTGGGGGCTGGGTGCCCGGTCCAGCCATGACGTCGGGCAGCCCCTTGCTGCCCGGCAGCCTCGATGGCTCCGTGCTTATAGCAGGCCTGTGCTATAGGGGAGGAGGGGCCGTGCATCATTAATCATCCCCAGCCTGGGCGGCAGGGAGCTGGCTGGGGCCTGGGGCTGCCAGCAGAGCCGTGACTTTGTGGGGCCGGGGAGGCTGAGGCTCGCGGCCCGTTCGGGTTTTAGGGCTGGGAGCACCAGCTCCTGCCTGCCTGATCCTGCTCTCCGCGGGAATGTGCAGCAGTTGCTATGTTAATTGGGGCAAACTAAAGCATGCTGTGGGCAAAGCGTGCAGCGGCGACCTTGGCGACGGGGAGGGAGTCGCGGCGCGAGCCAGCCAGATCCCCATAACGAGGGATGTGACCTTGAGATGCCGGCCCCCAGCGGAGCCGCCACCTGCAATGAGCTGCTGGCCTGGCCGATGCCCCAGCCCAGGCCAAGCCAGGCCAGGAGCCCAGCGAGCGCCGGGGCCAAGTGGAGCCCTCGCTGCTGTTGGCGCCTCGGTGCAAGGCGCTGCTACAGCCGGCTCCAGCGGTTCGGGGCGGCAGACCTCTGGGACGGGGCAGGCTCGGGCTGGGCTCCTGCTTGAAATACGCTGGGGGGATCGGGGCCCTCTCTCCCGTCGGGCTTCCCGGGCGCCAGCTCCCCTTTGCCCTGTCCCGGGGTCGGGTGGTGCGTGCTGATTCCTGCACGCTGCTGCTTTGCCTTTTGTCCTTTGCTCTGAAGAGTCACTCGCTTTGTCCTCTTTTCCAGCAGCCATGGAAATGGTGCTGATCTTCCTGTGCTCCCTGCTGGTGCCGGTGGTCGTAGCGGACGGTACGTACCCAGCCAGCCGTCCGCGCCCTGCTGGGAGAATGCCCTGCCCCGGGGCCAAGGCCGAGACCTTGGAGAGCTTGGGTCGGGACCCGGCCAGCCCCGGTGCTCAGGGTGTCCAGCCTGTGTTTGCACAGTGCAGAAAGCATCGGGGCTTTTGCTCTGACTACGAGCTTCCCTGGATGGGAGCGTGGATCTGCAGCCAGAGCCTGAAGTGCTCGTGCAGCTTTGAGACGCCCGCGGGGAAGCACCGTGCCTGACCGAGGCCCAGGTGCTGCTGCGGTGCAAGGGACACGTGTAACTCGGTACCCCCCAAAGACAGCATAGCCTGGCTGTGATCGCTCCGCTCACGCTCACACTCGTGCACTTTTTGTCTTTTCATGTCCAGCTGCTGATCAGGAGAAGGAAAAAGACCCCTTCAACTATGGTGAGAGAGAGAGAGAGAGTTGTGTGTGTGTATGTGTATGTGTGTGTGTGCGTGCATGCAGACGAGTGTGTGCAGAACATCCCCTGGCACAGCTGGAGGAGCGTGTGCAAGTGTGTACATGAGGTAGGGCTGCGTCCGTCCTTCCGAGTGCCGCAGCCACCGGGCGTGTTATCACCCCGTGTCTCTCCCCGCTAGATTACCAGAACCTGAGGATCGGCGGCCTGGTGTTTGCGGTGGTCCTGTTCTTGGTCGGCATCCTCCTTATACTAAGTGAGTCGCCGAGGCAGGGCGCGCAGCTCCGGGACGGCGTGGGGAGAGCCGTGTGGCTGGGGCAGAGCGGGGACCGCAGGGTAGGGGTAATGCAGAGACCCACAGGGCTCGTGGAGTTTGCTCCCGTGAGGCAGCTCCACATCCTCTCTTCGTGCCACGGCTTCGGCTGGGTATGCCCTGTCCCCCCGCCCTGTCACTGGTCTGCCCGGAGGTGCAGTTGTGTCTGCCGAGCCCGGAGCAGCCGCCCCTCGCGGCAGGGACCCGGGGCTTGGCAGGAGCGTGTTGCGAGGGCGCTAGCACTGCTGTTCGGGGGGAGGCTGCTCTCTGAGCATCATGGTTTTCTTCCTCTTCCAGGCAGGAGATGCAGATGCAGTTTTAACCAGAAGCCCAGGTGAGTGTGCGGGGCTCCAGCCTGAGGATGCTGTGTGGCTGCCCTGCGGGGGGGCTGGGCGCCCTCGAGGCTTTCAGACCCACGCAGACGCCGGCAGGGTCTGCACCACCCCAGCGCCAAGGCCGTGGGGGGCCCGGCCGTTCCCCGCGCGGGAAGGCACCGCGCTGGTTGCTCTGTGGGTGGGGGCTGTCCGAGGGGAGGCCCTTCCCTGGGGCATGCATCAGGAAGCCAGTCAGTCCAGCGAGGCTTAGTGCCGTAGCCAGCCCCTTTGGCACGCTTTTCCTTGCATGGCTTTCCAAGCGCAGCCTGGGCCCTGGGGATGCGCACGCGGGGAAGGAGCGGGAGGGCAGCCTGCCGCGCTGGGCAGCCCCTCTCTCCCACGGCCGCCTCCGGCACGGAGAGCTCGCAGACCCCAGGCCACGCTCCTGCTCTCTGTCCACCCTGTCTCTGCTGCTATTCGCATCTGCTCTGCCTCCCTGCGGGGCCGAGGCGGTCGCTCTCCTCCGGGCCTGCCCGGCTCGGGAAAGCGAAGCCCGCGAGCCGCAGGGGCGGGGGGTGGCGCTGCCCGGCTCTTCTCACTGCTTCTCTTCTTGCAGAGCACCGGGGGATGAGGAGGCTCAGGCTGAGAACTTGATTGCCTCAAATGGTAACGTGCTCGCACTCCTGCTTCACGTAGCCTCTGCCGATGCTGGCGGGGGCATGGGTGTCCCCTGGCTGGGCACAGAGCTGGACAGGCGGCTGAGGCCCCTTGGCTGAATTTTGCAAACTTTTTTTCTGTTTCCTTTGCAGCAACAGGAGCGCAAAAAGCAGAGAACTGATCTAGAGCCATGAGGTGAGGCGAGCCCAGGCCCTCCGTCCGTGCCCACGGCCGGGCTGGGGGCTGGGGCCAGGCCCCTGCAGGCACTGGCGGGGGGCGCCGGGCCCGGGGCAGGGCTGAGGGCTGGTTTGAGGAGTGACCATGCTGGGAGCCTGGCTGCAGGGCCAGTTGTGAACGGCTCTACTAAAGACCAGTCTGGCAGCCGAGATGCGGACTGGGCCCTGAGCCTGGCCCCAAGGCTCAGCCCGGGGTCCAGGGCAGCAGTGCCCAGTGCCATCCCCCAAGCCCTGTCCTCTGCATGCCAGGATCGTGGGCAGCTGCCCCAGTGCAGAGAGCGGCTTAAATAAAGTGGGTGCTCAGAAATAACCGAGCCAGGCCCCAGCCTTCGGGCTCTGGGCCCCGTCCGCTGGGGTCTGCATTTGTTGGCTGAGCTGAGGTGAAGCCATGGCCGCCAGGCTGGGTCCTGTATGCTCCGGGGCGGTGGGCAGTGCAGGCTGCAGAAGATGCCCCATGCCCAGGCAGGCGCCTGGCATTTCCTTGCCCCGCGGGGCAGCGACTGGCAGCAGGCGTCTCCCGCTACCCGGGGGCAGAGCGAGAGGACGAGCTTTCCTTCGGCGCTGCTGGGGGGCAGGCAGCCCGGCTGACTCGGTGTCCCCTCCCCGCAGACCCAGAGACCGGAGGACAGACGCTCAGACCCGAACGCGAGTGACCTGCCAGCAAACAGAACTGACGGCACCAGGTCCTTCCCAGGAGATGCCACGAAGCTGTGTCTGTGTTGCTCTCTGTACTTAACACTGGTTCTCTAGCTGCCAACCCAGCGGGACTCCCCCGCCCGCCCGTCCGCCTGCCCGCCCACCCACCGTAGCCTGTGATGTTCGTGTGTAATGGCCATCGCCTCTAGGACTAGTCATTGCTGCTGTTGTGTTAGTGAGTTCTTTCCCCGTGCCCGGTGCGGTTCCCGTGGTACACAGCCACGTGAGAGTGACAGGATCTGCTTCCTACCCCCTCCCGAGAGCGCCCGTGCAAGGGGAGCCGGCCTTTGCCTTCCTGTGCGGGGGGCAGAGGCTGTTCAGGGGCGTCTCTCGGCGCTGGGCCACATCCCGGGGCTCCCACTAACCTGGCTCAATGGCAGGGCAGAGTCCTGGGGGCAGGGACCTCTACTCGGCCAGGGTTGGGAAGCGCCACGAGCGTGGACGGTGCCGCATAATCGACGATGATACCGTCCTCGCTCGTGGTTATGGAGCCCTCCTCGCAACGCAGGAGCTGGGTGCATGCAGGGCCCTGGGGGAACGCTCCCCTCCTCCGCCCAGACCCACATGGGTGCAGTCACTGGTCCGAGGCCAGCTCCCTCCCTCCTGGTGCCCTCATGCACCCGTCCTCTCCCCGAGTGCTGCCTCTTGGAGGTGACGGACCCACCGGTTGGAAAGAGCATGGGCCCTTGTGCTGGGGCTGGGCCGCTGCGGCCTGGCCACGCTCGGTTCTCGGTGGGGAAGGGGAATCTGCCTGACGCAGACGGGCCTAGCCCCCGGCCTGTGCGGGGAGGGGGCAGTGCTCAACCCAAACTCACGTCCAACTTGCCGTTTTCCATCCAGCAAAGCCTACAGCCAGGTGAGGCCCCGGGCTCTGGAGAGTCTCAGGGCTGGGTGTTGCCCCCACACTCGGAGGCAGCTGCAACCCCGGGACTTCCCGGCCACGTGCGGTACCGCTCCGGCGGCCCTGCCCTCCTCGTGGCACCTGTGCTGGTGCCTTGGCTGTCAATGCACGGGTGTGCAACGAGCATGCTGAGGGCATTAGCAATGAGGCATCCACGCAGGCAGTGATGGGGGGAGCGCACGAGCCGGCTGCCTGCATCGTGCAGCCTGCACCTGCAGCCGGGGCGAGCTCTCTGAAGGCAGCCTGTGCCTGGTCCTCCTGCCCTACTTGCCCCAGAGCCAAGACCAGCCCCGCTCCCTGGCATGGCAGCTCCTGCCTGGGGCCCCGCAGGCACTGCTGGGGGAGGTTGAACCATCTCTAAGGGCTAAAGGCAGCTGTCCCGGAGCTGTCTCTCTCCTTGCTAAGCCAGGACAGGGCTCCAGGGCGTGCCATGCCCGGGTGATGCCAGTGGGATTTACAGCCGCACCCAGGGCACTGGGCCCTCACTGCTGGTGCAGCCCCCGAGCTGCCCCCTCTGCCAGGGCTGGATCGCTGCAGGGCTCGGGCAGAGCTCCTGCAGGCTGGGGGCTGCCCCGCACCGCTGGGCAGCGCTCCCAGCCCCAAAGGGCTTCAGCAGGGGAAGGGGTGCTGTGAGCTGGCCTGCGGCTTCGGCCGTATGCAGCTGTGCAGAAGCCCAGCCCCGCGCCATGCTGTGAGGATGCCGGAGACGCACCAGCCCACGGGAGGGGAGGAAGGGGGTGAGAAGAAGAAAGGAAAGCAAGCTCCAGACCCTCCAGGCAGGCTGGGATCCATTTTGGGGAGGCTAAGAGGGGCTCCCCTTTGCCTCTCTCCACTGCGCTGCCCCAGCCTCCTGCACAGGCAAAGGTCCGAACCCCTGGCCCCGTCCCCAGCGCCGCGTCCCCCCACGGCCGTGGAGGTGGGAAGCACATGCTATACATGCTGTCTGCAGGCGTGAGGCCGAGCGCGTGCTGTGTACCCCGTGCCGCGTCCAGGCCGTGCTCTGGTCCTTCCCCTCTCAGTTATGCACCACAGATTCGAGCAGGCAAACCAGCGCGTGCCTCCCAGCCCAGCCCAGCCCAGCCCAGCCCCGCGTGTTAGCTGTGCGTCTGTCACGCGTCCTGTGTTCGGAGTGACTTCGGTGTCTGTAGCGTGCAGTCGGTATAACGAGATTTCAAGTCGTCCGTGTAGAAAATGGCAAAATCTGAGTGTTGTGAACTCCAACTCAACTAGCCCAGCTGTGTGTGTTCATTCCAAAATAGGCCAACCGTGCTGCTGTGATACAGGACTGTTGTATTTTGTGCTGTGACCCAAACCTAAGGGGAAAGAAGAATAAAATATCATTTCTACCTTAGCGACTCTGCCTGCTCTGTGCCCTGTGGCAGGCGATGGGGTCAGGGCAGGAGCAGCTCCTCTTGCCAGTGGGCTCTGCAGTCTGGAGCCTGAGGGGGAGATGCGGAGGCTCGCATCTTTCGTGGTACAGTGCAGTCTCCCCCGAGCGTGTTACGGGGTGTGCCGAGGGGCATTGGGCACCTGAGCTCCAGCCTCCATGGGGCAAAGCCTCACCCCGGGGCATGCAGCGGGGGGTGACTGCCCGTGTGCGTCGTTCCCGTGAGCAGAGTGAGGCCTTTCCGCTCCAGTCTGGATCGTTTGGACTGAGGCTGCCGAAATGCCTCGGCAGGTCGTCCTCGACATGCCGTGCACCGCAAAGCCTCGTGCGCTTCAACCTGTTGTCTTAACCAGGCACAAGTCTTGCCTTTTAATGCAGGGGTCCCTGCAAACGGGCACTTTGGGCTCCCCATCTGCCGAGCACGGCGCAGCTGGGACGGGAATCGAGGCTGAGGGGCGGTTGTGACCTAATTCCTGCAAAGCCCGAAGCCCGTGCGTGGCACAAACAGCCTCTGAGCACGGCTGACATCTGGGCAGGCCCATGCAAGCAACAGGCAGGGGAGGGGGCAGAAGTGCTTCCCTGGCTCCAGCAAACCAGGCCCCAGGCAGGCCCCTGCCCCCGGCGGGGAGGGTTTGGGATAAAGCTGTGGGCTGATCCTCGAGGCCTGTCCTGGCAGGAAGGGTGCAGGGGGCTCAGGTGGGCCATGGACGGAGGCTCTGCTTCCTGCAGCGCTGTCTGCGTGCCCCGAGCTTGGCTCGCATCCCCTCCCCGGCAGGGCAGTGCCGCTCCCTCCCCGCCCAGCCTGGTTTGCTCTGGGGAAGCGGTGCCCTTAGCCTCCCCTAGAAACCTCAGGAGCTCCCTTCTGCTTAATGGCTCTCCCGGCAGATCAGAGCCGTGGGGCCATCACCGAGGCAGGCAGGATCAAGCGGTATCGCTGCAGGGTCTGGTTTTACCTGCAAAGGCAGCTCGGTTTTTACACCTCGTCGCTCCTGCTGTCTCGGAAATACTTAAGGAAACAGCCCCTTTGGGGCGCACGTCCCTACAACACAGAGGCTGCTTTTAAGTCTCCTTTCAGACGAGAACAGCAGCACTCGGTGACAGCTTCGCTTGTGCGCGCCGTGCGAGGAGGGGAGTCCAGTGGCCGGGAGTTACTCTGCTCGCTCCTGCTGTGGCCTGTCCGGGACCCGGGGATCTGGCACGGGACCCCCAGATACCTGCCCCCAGTGAACAGCACATGGCAGGCGTCAGGGCAGCACCAAAGGGTGTTTGGGACGAGCTGGTCCCATGGTGGGACGTGCCACAAGTGGGACAAATACCAGATACTGGTCTCCTAGCACAACCACAGGTGAGATCGGAGCTGCCTTGGGCCAGGTATTCTGCTGGCACGCGCCAGGTGAGCGAGCGGGCTGTGTCCGATTGCCACGGCGGAGACGGTGACGCTGACGGCACGGTGCGAGGGACACTGGGCTGCCTGCAGATCCTATTCATGGTGACAGCTGCAGCACAAAGATGCTGGCACGTTTTGGCTTGGCACAAGCTGCATGGGGCACTTCCTGGTAGCTGGAGCACAGGCCTGGGAGCCAGGACGCCTGGCTCTGCGCCCGGGTCCACTCGCTGCCTTTGTAACGCTGTTTGACCCCACCGGGGAGGAGGGAGCTGGGGCCTGGTCACGTTACTCCCTCCAGGGTTAGTGCGAGTGGTGCGGCCCTTGGGGCGGCAGGTCCAGCAGCAAATGCGCTCTGTGCTGGGCCAGGGGCCCCAGGGGAGCCGACGGCGCCTCCATTGCTGCGTTCTGCAGCGAGCGGCGATGCTGAGCGCCAGCCAGGCTCTGTCGGGCGCTTGCAGGCACGTAGGTGCCAGGTGCGAACCACTGTGGTGCATCGCTGTGTCCGTGCGGTCAGAACGTGGGCACGTGAGCTGTGTCCCCTGTGGTGCCCAGCAGCTGCCCCTGGGGAGGGAGAAGACGAGAGGAGGAAAGGGAGGCCTGGGCACCTGGGGTTGGGATGGTTTGCAAATGTGGGCATCAGAGGCTGGGAGCTGCAGGGGCTCTGCCTCTGTGGGTTGGGTGCAGAGGAGCAGCCCCGGTACCATGGTGCAGGTGACCCGAGACAGGCCCCAGAGGAGAGCATTGCAGCCTAGGGCTGAGGGTCCTGGCACCCACCACCACCAGCTCCTCAGGGCCGGGACAGTCCCAGACCCCGGGGCTGCCGGTGGGTGCAATCAGGCTTGCAGAGCAGGCGTGGGCAGCTCGTCTGTCTGTCTGTCCGTCCATGCAGGGGCCTGTGTGGCTGCATCCCGGGGGGAGGGAGCTCCCCGGGGCTGGTTGTGTCCCATGACCGCCAGGTGCGTGGCCCGCTGGTCACCGATTGACAGAGCGGCACGAGGGGCGCGACGGCCGATCCGCGCTCGGCCCGCACCTCGGGGGCTGTCTGCACTCGGGCACCGCGGTCCAGCACGGGGAGCAGAGCTGTGCCCCCGGTGCCTCCCCCGGGGACCGGGGTTGGAGTAGGTGGCCCCCCGGGGGGTCTGAAGCCCCAGCTGTCCCTTCTGTCCCCGTCTCTAACGTTGCTAGCTCTTCTCCGGGAATAAGAGACTTGTGCTCGTGGTCTGAGCGAAGGACTGGAGCCAGGACCTCCCCGGCACCCCTGCCCGACTCTCTGGCAGCCTTCGGCCAGTCCCTTCACTGCTCTGAGCCTCAGTTTCCCCGCTCTATCGTGGGGATGGTGCTGCTGGCCGGGCTGCTTGGCGGGCATCTGCGAGGCACGTAGGCTGGCCGGGGTCAGCATCGCGGCCCTCCCGTGTGCTGGCTGGGGCGGTGCGAGGTGCCCCTCGCTGCTGCTCCTTCTCCCCGCTCTGACGGGGGCGGGGGCGGGGGC